GATTTAAGGTTTGTAAAAGAGTTTTTCAAAATTTTGACCCTTTAGAGCTCCAAAATTACACAAAAACTGGAATTAAAAAAAAAGGAGGAAGAAGGAAAGGGCGGAGGAGGGGACAATGACACCACGTAAGTGCCAATAGCGCAAATGCCCCCAGAATGGCTTTTTGCACCTGTGGCATTGCATGAATGGCAATTAATTCACAGGTTTCCCCATGAATGAAAAGGGACGGGGCAAATACAGGAGGGGAGTGGCATTGTGTGATCAGCATCACTGATTCTGTTTCCTTCCCAGGGGAATAGTGGTTTAAAAGCCTGGTGTGATAATAATATCCATGGTTCCTCATGCTATATCTGTGGAAGTACTGTCTGTCTCTATGCACATACAGTGAGGTTGTGAATTGTTGTTGTTGTGTGAGTTGAAATCATTTCCGACTTAGTGACCCTAAAATTAACTTATCATAGGTTTTCTTGGCAAGATTTGTTCAAAGGAGGTTCCTCATTGCTTTCCCCTGAGGCTGAGGGCATGTGACTTGCCCAGGGCCACCCAATGGGTTTCATGGTGGAGCTGGGAATCGAACCCTGGTTTCCAGAGTCGTAGTCCAACACTCAAACCACTACGCCACACCGGCTCTCAGGTTCTGAATTACATCCTAAAAATATCTGCATGACAAAGCGCAACAGTCCTGTCTTTAAATCTCTTTTCCTGCCCTCAACAGTAGTCATAAAATTTAGGAGGTTTGCACAGGTCTCTCTACTTTATTTGTTTACCATAGATGAATGTTGAGCTGAGAGTGTTTTAAGAACAACTTATCTGCAGAGCTTATATGGAAAATATCTGTAAATTGGTGAAGATGCCCTTGGGCACTGTATTTGTTGGATGAACAAGGACAAAAAAATTAGCCCAGGGCCCAGCTGTTGTTGATGCTAAAGGTTGGATGTGTGAGCTAGTCCTCTTACTTCATCCTCAGTCCTATTTCCCCTGCTTTTTTTCTATGGAAGTGTTCTAGTTAGCTATTATACAAGTCTGTTATCCATTTGCTTTATGGTTTATTAAATTTTTAAACACAAACACATATAATGTTTATTTTACAAACCTGTACTGTATTTATATCTCAGCCCTCAAGCTAAAAGGGTTTACAGGATGACTAATCATTTAAATTAACATCATATAAAATAAAATAAAAGAGAGTCTTAGCAAAAGCAGCAGTTGTTGAAAGCCACTTGAAGCCCAAAGCCATTAAGATAAAGCAAGTACTCTTGTAATGAAAAAGACTTTTCACCAAATAAGTTGGTGAAAATACATCCAAATTAAATGTTGAGGAATCCTCTCTGTGGATCCTATCTATAATATCAGCAGGACCCAGCGAAGGGCCATTAAGATCTTAGAGTCTTAGCACATTCAGATTTGATTAAAGAGGCATATCTCAAGTTAATAAGTAAATTATTTTATTTTATTTTATTTTTGTTTCTGGGGAGACATGTCTTCTTTTTCTCTTGTGGATTTCATTGGATGTCCCCTAGTTTTTGCTCAGGTGATACAAAGAAGTGAGATGTTGCCTGTATGTGAATATTTATCTTCCTTTTATTTTGTAAAACTGTACCGTTTATCAATGAATCAGTTATTAATAGCCAAAATACCTACACTCTTTGTTGGGTGGCAGATAAACAATATCTATAGTACTTGAATGCAGTCACCGCCAAGAAAATGAGAATAGCTATGTTGACAATGAATAGATTAAGGTTTTTGTAATTTGGTTTATATTGTTTGGCATAGGTTGTCTAGGTACAAAAAAGTCCATCCGTTCACATGAGAGCATTGCAGAATGTTGCCAAACACTATGTTTCTTCATCTCTAGAAATACTAAAACTTAAAACCAAAATGTGATATAATAACTACCCGTACATCAATTACAACTTCACTGAATATGTGTAAGATCTATATTCCAGATATGAGAAGCTTCCTTTATAATATGTTTGGAGAGGTTTACAGAATGGTTCCAACCTCCAAGGTCTCAGCAAAACCGGTTTTAATCTCTAAACTTCTCTTGCGACCTCTATTTGGTTCAATTTAGGTTTCAAGGTTAACAACCCTTCCCTGCAAAGGTGGCAGTTTTTTTTATGCGAGCTGTTAAAATGATGTTAAAGTTTAACTACTTGATATTTCCATTATTTAATTTTTCTTTCCACACCCCATTATGCAAACTGCTTTGAAATGTTACCTGCTGTAAGAATGTGTTTAGGCATATAGAGCTGAGGTTTGCATCCATAGCCATGGATTCTGTATATATTCAAGCTGTGGATGTTTGAATCTGTGGATGCAGAATCATTGGCTGTGGATGCAAACCTCAGCTCTGTACTCTTATAGATAGATAGACAGAGATTCAAAAAAGGAGAATTCAAAAAAGCAAAGTTTGATTTTGCTATTTTCTATAAGGGACCATATAGCTAATATAATGGGGCTTGAGCATCCATGGATTTTGCTATCCATGGGAAGTCCTGGAACCAGCAAAACAAATTACACATTCAGGTTAATGAAAAACATTGTCCAGATAATTGGCCCATACTAGGTATCCATTCAAATGGAAAAATCTGTAAAAACAATTTAAGGTAGATACAGGTCCAAAACACACTGCAGAAATAATCCAGTTTGTGACTGCTTTAACTGCCATGGCTCAAGGAATTCTGGGAACTGTAGTTTTGTGAGACATTTAGTCTTCTCTGTCAGAGAGTTCTGGTGCGACAGTAAACTACAATTCCCAGGATCCCTAGCACTGAACAAGGGAATCCTGGATAATTTCTGCAGTTTGGGACCTAAGTCTCACTGAGTGCAGTGGGAATTCCTTCTAACTAAACAGTCGTAGGATTGTTCTGCTGGAACATAGGGCCAAAACAGACTGCAGAAATAATCCAGCATCAGACCACTTTAACTGCCCTGGCTCAGTGCTAGGGAATTTTGGGAATTGTAGTTTGTCGTGGCATCAGAGTGCTCTAAAAGAGAAAGTTCAATGCCTCACAAAATTACAGTTCCCAAAATTCCCTAACACTGAGCCAGGGCAGTTAAAGTGGTCTCAAACTGGATTATTTCTGCAGTCTGTTTTGGCCCATAGTCATCAATAGATAATTTCAGTATAGATTATTTGAATTTTCTAGTAATGGTTTGCTAAAACTGTACTGTCCTGTTTTATTGAAGCTATAGTGTGAAATGATTTTACTAATATTAAGGTAGACTTTGAGTGTGACTGTGAAATTAGTTGATTTTAGCCTGAACTGGTCAGCACTACTTATTCTAGAACTTCATTGAATGAATCCAGTATAGCTAGTAGTAGTTGGAATATGTAATGTAATATAGGGGATCCCAGCGGCTTTGTTACAGCAACTGGCAAACCAAAATAGTTCAGTTTTGTTCATATGAAATAAAGGAAACAAACCACCTGATTACAAGATGTACTTCATTGACTGTAGTGGCTTTATAACATGTTGACACATTAAGATGTAGGTGCATACCAGTTAAGGTTTAAAAGCAATAATGACTTTGACTGTTCTTATAAAGTTACTAACCCACTCTGACAGATTGCAAACCAACTTGCAGCTTGTGAACCACAGGCTAGGAACTGGATGGTATACTAGACCTCCAGCAGCAGGAGGAAAGCAGAGGCATCACTGTAGTGCTCTTTCTTAGGACCTTATCACACGGGGCCCAAACCAGACAGAATCGAAACGAAATCCCAACCTAATACGTATTATTTTTCCGTGTTTCCACAAGACGTCGCACAGAACCCCGACAGAAAGCGGAAAGAACCGAGATCTTTTGAATTTCGGTTTTTTCAGGAATTGCAATTGCGCGACGGGAATCATTTCGCATTTACCGTAGGTCTGATAACCAAATACGTATTGTGGCGCATTTCCCCGCTGTTGCCATGGTTCCAGCAAGCATTCCTCTCTCTGCGCATGTGCAGGAGGCTCGTTTCGGCTACATTTACGGGTTTTTTTTCCTCTTGTGTGTGGACACTTGATACACTTACTGTAAAAGCGCAATGAAGGTAATGACATTTGCGGAAACAAGGGTTATTTCCCATTTATTTTCGGGATGCCTTGTTTCCACTTTATTTTCAGTTTTCTGGGCCACGTGTGATAAAGTCCTTAGAAAATTCCATTTTAGCTTCAAAGTTGCCTGAAGTCCATGATTTGGGATCTTTGAGGCAAAACAGTACATTCTGTTTAATTAATTCATTCCTTGATAATTCAGTTAATACGTATGCTTTCCCCACCCACCCATCAACCCACCCACCCATTTCTTTTCTTGAAGTGGGGTGATTTCTTGTCTTTTCCATTCTTAGGAATTATTTGGAATCAAAGAAAGTTTACTGTGGTGTACTGATATAAAAGAGAGATTCTAATGTGATTTTTTTGGCTGTTGCAAAACTTACTGTTTTGTGCCTTTCATAGGAACAGTTTACAATTCTGTAAGTCTAGTTACATTTTCTTCAGAGTTGTGTCTGTAGTTATTGGCTTAATAAAAAGTGTTGGTTTAAAGTTTTAATTGGTATATTAATCAACTGTGAAATTTTAACTGGGTTGTATTTTAATGGGTAAAGCTTGAGTGTTAAGGGGCACACTTGTTTATTATTGCAGGCTATTTATATATTTATTTATTTCATTTATATGCCTTTTTTGTCCCTGGAGGGACCCAAGGCGGCTCACAGATAAAACATTTTAAATGGCATAAAATTCAAAACAATTAAATCATATCCAATATAAAAATCACATAAAATATACAAAAATGAAAAACATAATCTAAAACAATCCCCTAAATACATTGTTATATTACAACTTTTGTAATATATTTTTGTAATATATTTTTGTAATTTTTGTTATATTACTAAAAAATGATTTTTGTAATATAACAACACAATAGGCATTTCTCTGAATAAGCCATTGTAAGAGACATAAATTGAGAACTTTGGGAGAAAATGTTTATCCAGTATGTTTTCACATATATTAATGTCTTTCAAATAGGATAAAAAAGAAAAATATAGCATACTTCAAGGCAAATTCTTTTAGTTCTGTAGTTACTAATTCTGTTAAGATTTGCAGTCCATGTTAGCTGAGCAATAGACTATTGGACAAGTTGTCAAAGGGAAATGTTAAATTGAAATGACCATAGTAGTATTGTTACAGTGAACACTTACATAAACTTTACAAAAACAGTGGAACATTTAAATTGTGCAATCAGAAATACAGTGTCTAAGCTGGAACTGATGTGCAGCGAGGCAGGATATAAATAAATTTTATTATTATTATTATTATTATTATTATTAATCTTTGAACTGCACCATTGACTGGCATGAAGAAAATAAGGGAGAGAGGTGTTGGGTTCTGTTTTGGTGTCAGTTTTATGCTGACCCTTTCCCTAAGTTATAGCTGAATTGAATTGCATAATTTTGTGCAGTATTAATGCATATTCTGCATTGTTGCATCTGTTTATTATTTCAAAGCTGACATGAGCTGATCACCCTTTATTAAATCATATGCATAGGTACAAATGGCAACTTGCTGATTTAGATGTACAATGCATCGTTACATTTTATGATTTTAAGCACTAAGGACTCTGTAAAAGTTCTAATGTAGA